CTGTCTGACATTCTGGCGTCCATTCAAATGGGTTGGCCTTCTTCATGATCTGAAAGAAAGGGATCGCCCGGTCGGCCAGTTTTGACATAAACCGGCTCAGTGCCGCCAGGCGCCCCGTGAGTCTCTGTACATCTTTCAAATTTTTGGGAGCCTCCATGTCCATGATGGCCTTGACTTTCTCGGCATTAGGCTCGATTCCCCGCTCGCTCATCATGTAATCAAGAAACTTCCCTCCTCTGACCGCAAAAGCGCACTTCTGCGGGTTCAGCCTCATGTTTGCCCCCTCCATAATGGCGAAAACCCGCTCCATGTCTTGTACATGATCCTCCTTTTTCCTGCTTTTGATCAGGATATCGTCGACGTACACCTCCATGATCTTTCCGAGGACGTCCTTGAACAATATCCCGATCATTCTCTGGAAGGTGGCCATCGCGTTCCTTAATCCGAACGGCATGACCACATAGCAGTACACCCCGTCTGAGGTGACGAATGCAGTTTTCTCGGCATCATCTGGGTGCATGAATACCTGATGATATCCCCTGAAGGCATCCATAAAGCTTAGCAGCTCGCACCCCGCGGTTTCATCCACCAAGAGGTCAATCCTCGGAACGGGATATGGGTCCATCGGGCAAGCCTTGTTGAGGTCGGAGTAATCAACACACATCCGCCAGGTAGTTCCCTTCGGAGCCAAGACGACGTTGGACAGCCATTCCACATGCATGACAGGCCGTATGTGGCGTATGTCTAGTAGGGTGGTGACTTCCACTTTGATGAAGTCCCTTCTCTCGACTGCCATATACCTCTTCTTCTGTTGCACAGGTCTGGCATCCGGCCGAACGGCCAATTTGTGACAGATGATGTTGGGATCAATCCCTGGCATATCCTCCGGTCCCCTGGCAAATAGAATTTTGAACCTTTGGAGGGTCATGATCACCCCCTCCCGGATTTCCGGCTCCAAGCCGGTCCCAATGGATACCTTCCGATCGGAAGGATCATCCAGTTCTACTTCCTCCAGCAAGGTAGCCGGCTCTGGTCGGAACATGGCCTCCTCGTGCCGGGCCGTTTCCGCAATGCTGTTAACCCTCATGTCCTTCTCTGTCATCCTCTTCACCGCCTCCTTGTAGCAAGCCCTTGCTGTATCTGGGTCCGTACGGGCCACGCCCACCCCAGTCTCTGTGGGAAATTTTATGCAAGAGTGCCGTACGGAGCAGATAGCCTCCAGATCTTCTAGTCCAGGTCGTCCCAGAAAGGCGTTGTGGGCGCATTTGAGCCGCACTACCACAAACGTCACGGGAATTGTTGCCCTGTGTTTGCCGTCCCCGATTTCAATCGGTAGGATGATGGTCCCTTCTGCATCGATGCTGTGACCGGTGAAACCGGCCAGGGGTGTTCGAAGGGGGCTCAGATCGGCCCTTCCCAGATGCATTTTTTCGAACACGTCCAAGTAGAGGACATTGACGCTGCTTCCTGTATCAACCAGAACCCGTCGGATTATCCACTCCCGGATATCCATGCTGACTACCAGCTCATCCTTGTGCGGCCCTGGAGTCTGCGGCAGATCCGCTGCCCCAAATGTGATGGGTTCAACCTTGTGTTTCTTGGCGAGGGGTGCAGAGATAGAATTTATCCGGAGGGCTCTCTCAAACTTCTTCCTCTCTGCCGGGGTATCCCCGGTTTCTGCTCCTCCGAAAATCATTTTGATTTCCATCTTCTTCTTGGATCCGGCCGACCCGAGTGATGCTTCTGGCCTTTTGTCGCCATGGCGGAAATCATCCTCCTTGACTCCGGCCTCTCGTCGATCATCCCGGCGCCAGCTGTAGGGCCTCCTATGCTGCTATGAGGGCCCCTGGTATGCTCCCCCCGTGGTGAATTCACCTAAATATCCTCTATCAATGAGCTTCTGGATGGCGTACTTCAGACTTTTACAGCCGTCCGTACTGTGCCCCTGTTTGCGGTGGTATTCACAATACGCTCCCGCGTCCCGGCCCATCGTGAGCCCTTTGGTAGGTACCGGCTCCTTGAGCAGCCCCTGGTCCTTGATGGCCCCAAAGATTTGGCTGATTGGGTAGGCCAGAGGTGTCGGGCCTAGATTCATAGGGGGGCCATCCCCCGTGCGTTCCTGCGCGGCCCACGGGACATACCCGCCGACCATCTTCTTCTTTTTCAGGGGTGGTGATTCCACCGGTCCGGGACCCAGTCGATCTGATGCCTTGCGCGCAGCGGGGTTTGATGCTCCGTCCCGCTGTGAGACCTCCTCCTCTATTGCCGCGAATTTGTGCGCGCGGGCCAACACCTCGGCGTAGTTGTTCCCGGGGTTCCTCTTTAAATCCAGATAGAGGTCCCCGGTCGCCAATGCATTGGTGAAGAGGGTGATGTCGGTGCTTTCCGGGAGGTCTTCCACCTTCAATGTCTCATCCCTCCACCTGATCATGAAGGCAGATATGGATCCCCCCTTATTCTGGTGGACGTTCGTCAGCCAACTGAAGTGCTTTTTTGGCGTGAAGATGGAGGCGAACCGAGCCATGAACCGCCGGGAGAATTGTTCAAAGTTGTCGATAGATCTGGGCCTGAGCTGCCCAAACCATTCCTGTGCCGTCCCCTTGAGTGTGCCGAAGAAAAGCCTGCACACAGCCTCATCGGAGGCTCCCAACATGGAGAGTGTCCCTTGATAAGACAACAGATGGGCTTTGGGGTCCCTGACTCCGTCATAAGTTAATGTTCCAGGGGGCCGAACGTCCCGAGCAATGTCTACCGCCATAACCTTGTCGGTGAAGGGGGGTGAAAGCGCAATCCTGGGCTGGGCATGAGCGTTCTCCGTCCGGCGATTCAGCTCATTTATTTGCCTCTGCATATCCAGGAGCATGGCATCCCGTGGATCAGTCCCAACGGGTGCGGGGGTTACTACTGCCAAGGTGTCTCCTCTTGGTATAACGCCCTGATCGTACTGGCCAAAGTGCATTCGGTTCTCCGCCGCCATGCCGCTCAGTACGGGGGTATGTTCCCTAGCCGTTCCTCCTCCGCGGGGCATGACCGGCGTGGGGTCCTGGAACGTGTGGCGCTGTGCTCCTCCGAAGGGTCTAGCCCCACTGGCCCCCCTACCCGTAGGGCGGGTGTTCTGGGTTATTCTGGAATGGACCGAACGGCGGGGATTGCTGTTCTCGCCAGTGTGTTCGGTGAAAGACTGCATGGGACGGACGGGTGAGAGCGGGGTGCGCTCAGTATTGGCGGTGTACACGTGTTCTTCCTCCCGCTGATCTGCCAGTTGGCGGATAGTATCCGCGATATCTCGCAATGCATGGGGGTCTCTGCGGAGTTCTTGTGGGATCAGGTCGGTGAGCATCCCGAGGTCCCCTCGGCTCCACAGGCTAGTGGATTGGGCCCCTTTCGCCTGGTTACGGCTCCTCCTGCTGTGAGCCAGTCGTGATGATAGATCTTGAGAATTGCCCGCATTATTAGTATTCATTTTGTTTGCCTTTTTGTTGTCTTAGAAGTTTTAAATGGAGAGCTTGGAAAAAGAGCTTTTTGATCAGTTTCCCACAGACGGCGCCAGTGTTGAGGTTTATTCCCTTCAACCCGCAGGCCCAACACGTACCTGGGGTTTCGAGTGGGTGGAAAGCAAATGAACTTACTAAAACAACAGGGATGGATTAAATGATTGTTTCTTTGAATATAGTGATTACAAGCCGAAGGGCCGAACATACTGAAAATAAGCTACGTATTGCGGACGATATTACAACTCTAGAGTAACGATGTGCAAACCCCTTACAATGAAATAAATGCGGCTATTTATAGTACACCCTGGTGGTTGGGGGGCTGACGTGGCCGGCTGTGGGCGACATGATTCCAACCACCAAATCTTCAGCATTAAATGTGCTTCCCGCCAAGATCTTGGTTTCCCACCATAATGCGGGGGGCGTCCGTCCCCTGAACTGAACTCAATTCTTAGTTGGCGACCTGGGCCTTTAAGTATAGCCCACCAGACGTCCATCCCCGGGCCTTTGGGCCTCGAGGCCTGGCTATGTCGGGCTACGTGCGTCCCCTGGCTCTTGGACCCTGGGGCCTGGCCATGCTGGGCTACGTACGTCCCCTGGCTCTTAGACCCTGGGGCCTGGCCATGCTGGGCTACGTACGTCATCTGGCCCTTGGACCCTGGGGCCTGGCCATGCTGGGCTACGTACGTCCCCTGATTCTTAGACCCTGGGGCCTGGCCATGCTGGGCTACGTACGTCTCCTGGCCCTTGGACCTTGAGGCCTGGCTTTGGTGAGCCACGTTCGTCCCTTGGCCCTTGGGCTTCAGGGGTTGATGGGCCGGTCCTGGAAGGCCATTAACCCAACAAAGTCCATAACAATTTATAAGCTACACAACTTAGGTATTATTAGACATTCAAAACAAAACTAGTATATTATTAGATTTTTTATTTAGGGGATAAATTTTGTATATCGGATTAAAAGGATTTGTAACTTTTCAATCTTACTTTTTTGAATTTTTGATTTTTTTCTTAACTAACCTAATCAACAAGTTTCAGGTCAAGTCAAACTTTTAGATAGGCTATACTCAAGCCAAAGAAACATGCTCAAACCCGTACATTCAAAAACAGGTCCATAAAAGGTCATGCTCAAACCTGTACATTCAAAAACAGGTCCAACCACTTTAGTTAAAAGTATGGCCCCCCTTATTTACACCCCTAGGGGATAAATTTTGTATATCAGATTAAAATGATTTGTCACTTTTTGATGTTATTGTTTGGAACTTTAGATTAAATTTTGTATATCCGCTCAAACAAGTCTGATGTGCTAGTCATTGACTCAGTTAAGCCCATTACAGAATCAACGAATATTATTGCTTCTACAAAGGTGGTATATCTAAGTCTTGTTCGAGCGCGGACGACATACATAATGCTTTTAATTGCTTTATTTACTTTTTTTCTTTTGATTATATTATCAACCTGTGATGAATTTTATATTTTTATTTAAGTGACCTAGTTAACAAGTTTCGGGTCAGGTAAAAAAATCATGTTCAAACCTGTACATTCCAAAACAGGGCGACCTTAGGCAAACCTGTAAAACATCTACATACGGAGTAAGGCTCAAGTTCCGATTACTCCTTACCTAATGATATGGCTTGTTCGGCAGTCACCTGTCTGTTGCTTTTTGCTGCGACGTATGCCGCACGGAACTTCCATCTAGCCGATGGCGCGCAGCGGAAGATCCACATTACAGATGATCTCGATGACGTCGTGGATGATGAGGAAGACGATGCCTGGAGAGAATGGGGCAAGAAAACATCGAGTCCACCCGAATTCGACCCGCCGCCCATGGATTTCAGTGATATGGATCCGTCCCAAATGCAAGCCGAAATGATGAAACGCCAGTTCGGGCCGGTTTTCGGATTTGCCAAGCTCCGTCTCGGCACCCGTCGCACTTCGGTATCCTTTCGAACTGCCTTGGATTACTTTACTTCATTCGGATAGTTTACTAGGTTTTGGCATTGAAAATATGTAATTCATACAGAGTACATATTTAGCAGTCCATAGTGCAGATTATAGTTACGCATACCTCTAATTTCAGTTAAACATAGCAACATTGTTACCAGGTTTGAGTTTCAAAGTTTAATTTATACTAGTATTGTACCTGTGCTATGCACGGATACAAATTTTCTTTTATTATTACAGCCTATATATTATTTTTGTTACTCAGAAATTATTATTTAGCTATTACTCACTTATTTTATAATAAGAAAAGTTATTGAAATATATATTTTATGTGTTTCTATATTACATGGCCCTTAATATAGTTAGACTTTTAATTCATTCATTTCATTTTCTTAATTCCCTTGGGTGTTTTATGTTGATTGAAATGGGCAAAAGAGAACATTGAATCTGAAAGGCGTCAAATTTTTAAAAAATTCAAAAACTTCTAAGGAATCAAAATAACGTGTACATCTTGAATGCTTTAGGAATTTCTATATTAGTAATTATGAACTTCCACTTAAGGAGAATATTTTAAGTTAAACTTTTAAAAGTAGATAAATTATCTTTAATTCAATCTGATGTTATGAAAGTTTTCATACAACAGTGAGTCAGTTTTTTAATCAAACAGAAAGTAGGTTATCTAACCCAGAAAAATATAAATTGGTAGGATTCACATTGAAAACATGCAAAGTACATCATACATGTAATCAAATTGTTACTGAACATGAAACACATCTTGATACACGTACCAGGCATGTATGTATATGATCTCAGATCATCAATTTTACCCAGCCTAGTTCTGTATTTATGCATCTTCATGATTTTGAGAAACATCTTTCTTTCTCATGCTTAACTACACACAGATGTTATCAGTTATTGATCTACGGAGCATTATCTATAATTTGCAATCATGTAAATATCTTTTTGCTGCATAACCGCCTGTCTAAATTGTTTAATGGATATTAAAGCTAGGTGGAACATACCGGATACAGGAGTCCGGGAGCCGACGGGAAGATCACTATTTTACCTGCGGTTATTTATTGAATTATCGAGAGACAAAACAAATAGGGTACTCATAGAAAAATTTATTCGAGCCGTAATTATATTTAATTATCACCATACCCCATATAACTGAACGTAAGGAAGTTACTGGCATAGTGGCCTGGCATGGGATATTATTACAGCTATTGCAGCAGAGTAATATTTAACCAGTTTTAATACGACTAAAACTGAGTATAGCATATTAGCATGTGAGAACGTTATTTTTAGGCGGTTCCGTTGTTTTATATATTAGCATATTGAAAGAGCGGGAACAGTTATTTTCAGGTGGTTCCGTTATATATATAAAGATTCTGGGCTTTTAAAAAGATTTATGAGAACGTTCTTTCCGGAAAGGGAAACATTTCTTGGTAAAAATACCTCTCATCTTGCCCACAAAAAAAAAAGAAACAGAAGAAGTTGGGGAGAATTGAAGAATAACATAAGAAATCTAAGGAGCATTTTTTTATGGAGGAATTTGGTGTAGGCCATACTGCAGAAAATTTGTCACTGTTGTCTATTTTCTCCTATTATATGTGTATCATCTGCCTTTGTGGGCGAGGGTTACAACTTGAGGTTATTGACGCGAAGTAAGTTAATTGTTTAGCTTTGGTCGCACTCATTTAAACTGTTGCTAGGAAATGGTTTCTGAAATTGCAATGAAATGGACCAAACTAGCAAGAACAGGCGCAATTGAGGCAAAGTTTATGGGTTTTGATGTGAGCACAATCATGTTCACTATGGAAAAAGGTCAAGACACTCTAGAGGTTAGTTGATGCTCAATTCAGTCTCAATTCTCAAATAATGTGTTGTCCAATTATGGATTTGTTGATTGTGCCATCTGCAAGAAAATCAGACCAGTAGCATATTATATTGATATGCTATGTATCACATATAAAATCAGACCAGATCATGCAAGAAAAATTAGTACAAGTGTACAACTGGACAGTCTTGACTTGTTTGTCTATACTGATTTTATGGGGTTCGTAGTTGGTTGAAGCTTTTTACCTTTGCAGCATTTAAAAGCCCAGTGTCTCATCCTTTGTAGTTGAAGGATTTCTTGTTGAGCCAACCTGAAGCATATGAGATTAAAATGGGAGACCAACTTTTTCGTAGACCTGGGGATCCTCCGTTTGAGGAAGTATTTGAAAAGTTGCAGACTGAGAAAAACAAAAAAGAGTCTACAAACGTGAAAGCAGAAGAGATGCATGAAGAGCTGTAATCGTAAGAAGTTACCCCTTATTTCCATATCCACTCTTATCTGGTACAAAAACAAAATCTACAGATAATTAACCCTTCCAACCAACAACACATTCAGATCAGAATTAAATCGCAATGTTTGTTAAATTACAATGAACTTGATACATGAGTTATGATAGCGATGTAAACGCCACAGGCTAATTTATATCAAATTGCAACAGTTTATATGTTTCTGCAATTGGTGAGCTTATCCCCTTGGGCACTTGTATTCAGTTCATATAATCTGGAGCTACGATAAAGCGCAAGAAAATGCATATCCAACTATCCATGCATTAACATTGAAAAATGGGATTCTAAAAAATGCAATAAAAGGTAAATATTGGAGGAAATTATAGAAGAAAAATACAGAAGGAAAATGTTTAGAAAAATGCAAGTTTGGTTTAGATTGAAGGAGTTTATGTTTATTACTTGTTCTTTAGAATTTATTTGTCCATTTGGAACTTAGAAATGCTAGGGAAGGATATTAAAGAAGGAACATGTAGAGGATACTTGAGGGGAAAGAGAATGTTGAGGAAAACAAAAAGATTGTTTTTCCCAAAATAAATATGGAGTATATATCTATTATTTGTTCAAATTGATTTTTTAAAATTTACTTCTACGCTTGGCTACTATGAATCTAGATATATGTAAAAAAATAACCACATTAATAATATTCTTTAGCATTTTCCAGCATTTTGTTTATAGAAATTGCTCTAAATAGGAGCAAAAACGTTTTGAAATTCCAAAATAGAAGTATGTTGTTTTTTATTCCCTGAATAGAGGTAATCTGCTAAGTTTGGAAACAAATGTCATATTTTAAAGCCTAGTAATGCCAAACTTGACAAAAATTTACTCATATTCAAGGAATAAAAACCATGATACTCCTATTTTGGAATTTCAAAACTTTTTTACTCATATTTAGGGAATTCTCTCTTTTCTTTTCTTTAGCATTTTTCAGAATACAAACCTGGCAAAACAAACATTTCTATGAAGGACATATAGTGTACAATATATTTATGCACATATAGTGTTAGAGAATCATTCTACACTCGAACATACTGCAAAACTGCACTTATTGAGGGCACAGTCAATTTGCCATCACTCCTTATGAGTATGCTTCGAAGCCGTAATAGGTAGCAGTCTGAAGTTGTGAAAAATGATGATCATTTCAACTTCTTGCTGAAATCAGAGAGCTCAAGAAGGTGAATTAAATAGCTCAAAGTGGCACAGAAGTCAGGAAGCAATAAAGGGGTCAAATTGAGGGTTTGAATAAGTGGAAAACTATTGCTAATGTCACAGTGGTGACTGGTGACATAAAGGGGAGGCTGATAAAGGATGGAAGTTGGAGTAATATACCTAGATACAAGTTTCCATCCATATAATATAATTCAGGCTCTTTGATCACATTCCTTAGGGTTGCAACTTGGTCTTCCACAAAGCTGACACAAGTGCACAAATTATATGGTACAACCGGTATATTTGTAATTTCCTACAACTTTAAGCCTTTTGATTCTCTTATTTCTGGTTTATGTCCGATTCTTTTCTTTCTTCTGGCGTCATTCTCCCTCCCCATCCTTTTATTTCTTTTTCAGCTGCCCCGTTCCTTTTCTTTCTTTTCCAGCCGCCATTCTCTTTGGTCTTTGGTGCTAGTTGTTTTACATTTTGTGTTTTATATTTTTTATTTTATTTTATTTGTGTTTTATTTTATTCTCTTTAGTTTACTCTTTTCTTTTATCTTTTTTCATTTATTCTTTTCGTTTTTTTTCTTTTCTTGTTTCCTTCTTTCTTTTTCTTTATATATTAATACCGAGCACATTAGAAATGAGCTTTACTTTAAACTCAAATAAGTAAAGCGTCTAAAAAGAACGAACATACACAAATTAGCTTTTGAATTTTTTAAAACTCATTTTGTAAGTTATGTATGTTAATTTAGTATCTTCGTTATACTCAATAGCACGATTCTAATATTCAATAATGAAGGTTCGATGCCCACTGAAAATGTCTTGATGCTCAACGAACAAAACATACAATTTTTATATCAATGCTCATCTTGTAAGTTATATATACTCATTTGTATAGGTCTGATGCTAATTAAAAATTCATTAATTTTCATTTAACAGAAATCATGAATTCCATCAATGCACATTTTGTAAGTTACGTATGCGCATCTGGTACTCATCCTATGCTCATTTTCTAAATGTCATATCAATGTATTTTTTGAAAGTACTATTTTACATTAGATTCACATATTGAAATTCATAGCAGTTGATTATAAATACTCCCTCCGTCCCCCAATTAAATTCCTGGTTTGACTTCACACATATTAAGAAAATAAATTTTACTTTGCTGTGGAGTGTACTGTTTTGCACTGTTCAAACATTGTTTGACACTGTTTTGCACTGTTTGACACTGTTTTGATGTAGATAATTTGCCAAATAAGGAAAGTAAGGAAGTGTGAACTTAATTTAGGGACTGTTCAAAAAGGAAAGTGGTAACTTAATTGCGGAACGGGGGGGGGGGGGGGGGGTATAATTTAATAAGTTTTTATAAAAGAAAAAATAACAAAAAGAAAGTGAATTAGAAGTTATGAAGTAGAGATCACGACTCTGAATACTAGATTCCTAATACTCAACATTATAGGTCTGATGCTCATTAAAAGTTCATTAGTTCTCATTCACCACAAATCGTGATTTTCATCTCAATAGCAGATGTTTGATGCTCAATTAAAATGTCGTGATGTTCATATCAATGTGCACTTTGTAAGTTATGTATGCTCATTTGGTACTAATGTTGTGCTCATTTTTGAATTGTTATATCAATGCATATTTCAAAAGTATCAAATTACATTAGACTCGCATATTGAAATTAATAGGAGTGTACTATAGATATAATTTAATAAGTTTTTATAAAAGAAAAAATAAGAAAAAGAAAAAAGAATTAGAAGATATGAAACAGAGATCGTGATACTCATTGTCAGTCTCTTAAATATTCAACAAAATAGGTCAGATGCTCATTGAAAGTACAATATTGCTCATTTAGCGGAAGTCGTGATTTTTCGCTTAAATTACAAAAATGCTACCGAATTTTTTTTGAGCTGTATTAGTGGTTGAACTGTCTTTCTTTCTTGGACCGGGTGTACGTACACCTGGATGCACTATATACGCACGGACACAAGTGGGTTATGCTCGTAAGATACCGCCACATCACACTATAAGCTCAGTAGAAATGAAATGCTTCTTCCACTCTTTATTACTCCGTAATAATAGATAATTACATATATTAGTGACCAAATTTGTTTGTTGACATATGCGGAAGTCAGGCTAGCAACTAAAATAAAAGGAATTTTATCAATTCAGGACCTGAAAGATAGATGAATTATCAATTCGGAACCTGAAAAATGAGATCTATCGGTATAGGATCCGAATGATGAAAAGCTATCGATCTAGGACCTAAAATTTCATAGGTTTTGATTTATTTATTTTTTTATTAATTCCGTTGTTAATTTTTGATAAACTTTTCTTCGCCAAAGTTTATTAGTTTCATTAAACTAAATAATACTACCTCCATCCCTTAAAACTTTGCTAAAGTTGACCGACACAGAGAATAATAAAGTAAAAACTGTGTGGTTGAAGTTTGTGCAGAGGAGAGAGAAATAACAGAAACCACAAAATAATTGATTAAAAGGGAAAATGTCAAAGTTTCTTGGGACGTCCTAAAAAAGAAAGATGAAAAAGTTTTAAGGGACGGAGGGAGTATTTAAAAATTTTAAGATAAAAAAATTAATAAGATTTCGGACAACTTAGGTCCTAAATTGATAATTTTCAATCATTCAAGTTCTAAATTGATAGTTTTCCATCATTCGGGTCCTATATCGATACATTTTATCTTTCAGGTCCCGGATTGATAATTCATCTATCTTTCGAGTCCTGAATTGATAAAAGTTAAAATAATGGACATGAATACTTGATAGTTTAATTAGTGTTAAAAAATTCGCTACATATCATGGGTTAGCATCCAAATGATCAAACCTCCTCCTCCTATCACATTGCAGGTTTAATGACATGGGAAAGATACTATAATTTGAATAATAAGTTTAAAATACGCTGAGACATAAGTTTTGAAATTATCTCCCTTTGAACGAACTTTTCTATTGATTTCTTTCCACGTACCATCCGGTCGATGTTGGGGTCCCTCAAGGATGCGATGTCATCCCTTTTTCTATTCATTTGTCCACAACTGAAGTACTTAAGCAGCACTTTTATGCACATCTCATTAATGAAAAGTAGCTATTACTTGAGATACTGATAACCACATTTTACAACTCATCGGTCATTGACGCTATACCATTTGACCCAAATTGCAAATTTACGTGACCCTAAAATAAATATAGAGGTCGTTTGGTAATATTTGTATTGGCTGATTCCGCTGAAATTTATAAAATTCTAGCTGGAGTGACTATATCGACTGATTCTTCTAATTTATGAAAAAATTATATTTAAAATATATTTTATTAATAAAACAAAGAAAGAATTATATGAAAAAACAGCTAGAATGATTCTCTACAGTAACTTCATCCATTACAGCAAGAAAAGTAAATTCAACCTTACATTTTCTTATTATTACACAATTCAGCGCGTGAAATCAAAAGTTATGTACTAGTATTTTAAAAAAAAGATGATAAGCGGGAAAAGATGACTACCAAGTGAGCTCATACACTAGCATTTACTACGTATGAAATATGGATTATAAAATACGGAGTAGGACTAAGGATGTTTTTACTTGGACTGTAATTCGTCCTAGACCAGACCAGACCAGTTCAGACCAGACTAGACCAGACTAGACCAGACTTGGATAGTTATAAAAATACAAAGAAACCAGACCAGACCAGTTCAGATCAGACCAGATCAAACCCGATCACACCAGACCAACAAATTAAAATCCAAGTAAAAACATCCTAATAACATTTTCAATTATCCCCAAGCCAATGAGATTCATTCTTACACAACCAACCAATGACTTCCCACCAATACACATTTCAACGATGCATTTAAGTCACTCTCTTCCATCCAGGGGCATTTCTGCCCTTCTGTTAAACTCAGAACCAGAAATTCCCCAGGTCCAGGGTCAAAGCAGTACATTCACAACAAATATAAAATCTGCATATATACATACCCCCTCCTACCTTGCTAGTATAGCAAGTGATAATCGAGCAAATAAAAATGTCGTCGGAAACGGCCAAGAAAAGCTTCCCCTCGGTAACGACGTGCGACGTCTCCGCCGTGAGCCACCACTCCGTGGCGGCGGACCTGGACGGAACTCTGTTGATCTCCCGCTCGTCCTTCCCGTACTTCATGCTGGTCGCGATCGAAGCGGGTAGCCTCCTGAGAGGGCTGGCTCTGCTCCTGTCGTTCCCCGCCATAGCCGTGGCGTACGTATTCTTCTCCGAAGCGGTGGCGATCCAAATGCTGATCTACATCTCCTTCGCAGGAGTGAAAGTCCGGGACATCGAGCTGGCGGCGCGGGCCGTTCTGCCGCGATTCTACGCGGCGGACGTGAGGCGGGAGAGCTTCGAGGTGTTCGAAAAGTGCAAGAGGAAGGTGGTAGTGACGGCGAACCCGAGCATAATGGTGGAGCCGTTCGTGAAGGAGTTCTTGGGCGGCGATAAGGTTCTGGGGACGGAGATTGAAGTGAACCCGAAGACGAAGAGGGCGACGGGGTATGTGAAGAAGCCGGGGGTGTTGGTCGGAAAATGGAAAAGGGTGTCGGTGTTGAAGGAGTTTGGGGATGAACAGCCTGACATTGGGATGGGTGACAGAACCTCTGATCATGATTTCCTATCCGTTTGTAAGGTTTGTCACTCTTTACTTATCAAGCTCAATTTAATTTAATTATCCATACAATATTATTCCTCCCTCCCAAATTGAATTACTATTGAGATTTTTAGAATGAAATCCCCCTTTTGGACGAACAAAAAAGGGAAGTGAGAAGAATTTTATGGAAGGAATGGAGTATATTATTAGAAAACCGTAGTCAAAGTAAGGTGTGTGAATAGTGTTGCAACTTTTATGGAGTATATAAGTTTGATCAAACTGATATAAACATGCAATTTAGTCACTGTAATTACCGATTAGACCCTTTTGATGGTATTAGGTATTCCGATTAGTGGGGTTTGACTTATTTAGTTTGAATGAATGTCCCACGCAGTAGTATTATTTATATATATTACGTATTCTCTTCTTTTCCATTAAAATTTGTTGACATATTAAGTCATTTTAGCCATGTAATTCTTGCCAAACAGGTGTAGAGAGTTTAAGATAGAGATGAAGGACTAAAACAAGCATAATATAAGATTATGATTGTTTTATAATATAAGTCATTTTAATCAACTTATATTTTAGGGAAAACTATCAAATATGCCCTCGTACTATACCGAAAAGGTCGATTAGACCCTCGTACTTTACAAACACTCAATTAAGTCCTCGAACTATTAAAAACGTTCAATTAAGCCCTTTCGGTCGGTAAGTAACCGGTTTCCCGGTTAAATGTAACTTGTTTCCCGGAAGCTGCCGTTGCTGGGGTTTGAGCACATCGTCGCCATCGTCGTCGTTTAACCGGGAAATCGGTTACTTACCCATCAAAAGGACTTAATTGAACGTTTTTAATAGTTCGAGGACTTAATTGAGTGTTTGTAAAGTACGAGGGCTTAATCGACTTTTTCGGTATAGTACAGGGGGTTATTTGATAGTTTCCCTATATTTTAATCTTTTGTGTGTATATTTTGGTCTTATCATCACCAAATTCTATCTAAAATATCACTTTTGTTGAATTATTTGTAGTGTCAAGTGTGAACACAGAACTATTTAGTGAAGGTGTTCTCACCACTTCACAAGCAATGGACCACGTGTATGCAGTAATGTTGTTAAACAATCCTCACCTACTTTCATAACTCATCATCATAATTAATAAGAATAATAATAACATTATCCTTGACTACGCTCTATCTACAAAATTACCATTTACTCTTCACAGAACCAGAATTGATAAAACTATACTCAAAGTATTGAGACCTAACAAGATGAGATTAGACACTTTATCTGTATAGTATCCCAAATAATTTTTTTAATAAAATCTGAAACATTATATTCAAAGTAGGCTCGATTGACTTGAAAGACTCAGATTAAATAAGTTATACGGAGTATAAGCTAGAAACAATTAATTTGTTTCTTTTATTTATATTTTGGACCAAAACAGATCCGATTTTAAGTAATGGTGAGACTCCATGTGAAGGTTAAAGCAATTTGGTCCATTGACATTTACCACCTCACCTGCCCGCCCATTAACACGTACAACCCGGCCAGCTGGACATTGTTTTGCATTTATGACGATCACCTTCAAAACTCGGCGTTTAATGCCTTAGTACCGTTCTTTATTTTTTGGGGATAATAACTTCTAATCAAGTTTTTTTTTTCTTTTTTATTATGTGTTCAGTTTTGAACATCACTTTCAAATATTGTAACTTAATATACTGCCTTCTTTTTTTGAAAAGAAATATATACCAAAAGGAGTTACAATACACTTTAATTATTAAAGTACACAATACAAGTATAGTACCAAACCTCTTACTTAGCTTCTTGTAAAGTATAAAGTAATTTTATAACATTATCTTAAACGACACCAAAATACAGTTATTTTGATACAGAGGGAGTAATTACATAATTTAAACTATTGAATAAATTGAATAAATAAATCACAATAAAAACAATTAAACCCACTTTACCACCTATAAGTCTTTTATCCGTCTCATAAAATTCATCCTACATTAACTTGACCTGCATATTAAGGAGGTGAGAGTAAAGTTGAAATGTATGATTGTAGTTGTGTAAGAAAAATGTAAAATGAATGTGAGCCACACAAATTGTCAAAAAATGTTAAGTGAAAAGATTTTTTTGGGACGGCCTAAATAGGAAAATTGAAAGAATTTTATTGGACAGAGGGAGTAATTAAATAAGTTAAATGCTATGTAAAAGTCATTTTTCTTTAAGTATTACTATGTACTAAATTAAACTTTAAAGATAAAATATGATTTATTTTAAAAACATTCACTTTGAATAATTAGTTCCCAGTGACTCTAAAATTAATTAAATGTTTTGGTATTGTTGCATTTTAATTAGAAACATAAATATTGTTTTGACAAATAATTAATAAAAAAATTAGAAAAAGTTTTGGTATTGTTGCATTTCAACTGATTATGTTTTTCGATAAAAATATGATAGTGTATGAGTAACTGGAAAAGAGTCATTATAGTATATTTCAGAGTAATTGGGAACTAGTTACTGAATTTAATGACGTCACTCCATACAAGTGAAATGTATGGATGGTACTTTAACTATTGGTATTGTTGCGTGTTGGTACTTTTTTAACTCTTAAATAAATCAAATCAGTACCATAACAACACATAAATGATTCATGTGAGAATATTATTCAAAATTGCGGCAAAAAAATCCTGCATGGCGATCAAAATTTAATGTGTAGTGGGCTTTACGTATAGAATTCCAGCCACCACGTATGATTTTTCGACCAGAAATTTGAGTAATATTGTGAATTTTTATGGTTATGATGCTGGTTTGATTCATTTGAAAGTATGGTACCAAAATACAACGAAATAAATAGTTTAAGAACCATTATACATTTCACCCCACTCCATCCATATATGTCATGTATCTCTAATTATAATGCGCCGCCTCGTTTGGTTGGGACATTTTTGGAGGATTGTTTTTGTAATTAATCTACAATGTACCATAGAATTTGCCTTAAGTTATACGGAACAATCTTTTGATACTTTGGTTGCAGGAAGGGTATATGGTACTCCCTAGCAAATCAGCAACCCCGGTTCCACTTGACCGCTTGAAAAGTCGATTAGTGTTCCACGACGGTCGACTGGTGCAGCGCCCGGACCTACTAAACGCCCTGATCACCTACCTTTGGCTCCCATTTGGCTTCGCCTTAGCCGTCTTTCGAGTGTACTTCAATCTACCCCTCCCTGAGCGCATCGTACGGTACACATACCTGATGCTTGGAATCAACCTTGTAATAAAGGGGCCGAGGCCTCCCGCGGCATCATCCGGTGGCCGTCAAGGGAATCTATTCGTATGCAACCATCGGACCGCCCTGGATCCCATTGTCATTGCGATTGCGCTGGGGCGGAAAGTATCATGTGTGACATATAGCGTGAGCAAACTCTCGCGCTTCCTCTCCCCGATCCCCGCAGTTGCATTGACGCGGGATCGCGAAAAGGACGCGGCCATGATCAAATCCATCCTCGAGAAGGGCGACTTGGTCGTGTGCCCCGAAGGAACCACATGCCGCGAGCCATTCCTCTTGAGATTCAGCGCTTTGTTCGCGGAGTTAAGCGACAGGATTGTCCCTGTGGCGGTGAACACTAAGCAAAGCATGTTCCACGGGACTACGGTCCGCGGGGTGAAGTTTTGGGACGCGTATTTCTTCTTCATGAACCCAAGACCGAGCTACGAGGTGACATTTTTGGAGCCGTTGCCTAAGGAAATGACATGCAAGGGAGGTGGGAAATCTTCAATTGAGGTGGCTAATCATGTGCAGAAGGTTTTGGCTGGTGCTCTTGGGTTTGAGTGCACTCAATTGACTAGGAAAGACAAGTACATGCTCCTTGGTGGGAATGATGGGAAGGTGGAATCTATGTATGGTGCTAACAAGTAATGATTAAGACTGATCGAACTTGCATTATATTGTGTTTCATTAAATTAATTATACTCAGTTCAGCCCTATAATTGATAGTAGTGGCGCATGCCAAGTGTTGGCTGTTTCATGATATGGATCATTAATCAGGACGTATGAACTTCAATTAGTCGTTGTTTTTGCTTTCATTTCATTTTATTTGTTTTCATATACTTATAAAGGTGGAAAGCTTCTTCCTCATCCTCCTCTTCCCAAACAAGACAATTCAAGATGATAGTAAAAGTTATCCATATAGTGGGTCAAGATCTAGGGCTGAGGCAGAGATCACACCTTAAGCCCAGCTCTCTTGTGGTGGGCCCGGCCCATTTCAATATAGATTGTGATCACACCTTTGCTAATACATTTGTGTGAATCTTATAAAATTTACATATAATTCCATACTAGGAGTAAAACATGATAAAAAGACAAAAATAGGAGTAGTTGCTAATATTTCCAAAATACTTCGTATGACTTTTTGTTTTTAATTAGACAACAATAGCCCCAGTATTGTTGTAAGCTGGAAGCTGCTAGAGTATTGTGCTAAAGTGCCCAACGAAAATGCCTCAAAAGACTGCCCTGATTACCCAATATAAACGGGGACAAGTAATCATATAAATTAATTTGATCAGGGGTATTAAGAGTAGAAAATTAATGTTGACTCCTATATGGAAGATTAGGATTAGAGCCAAATACTAGGAGAAAATTAATGTTGACTGCTATATGTCGACTCCTATATGTTTGAGTCTCATCCCAATTCAAGAATGTTAGCATTAAGGAAACATATACTAGGTTAGAAAAATTTGTCAAAAATAAAGGATTAGACTACTCCTTCCATGTATGAACTTCCAGATACAGTTCAAGGGCATACATATAAAAATGCATTTTTCTCTTGCGACAACGGTTACATCATAATTCCTTGCATGTATGAACTGAGTGACCGAGTCATACTCACGATTTTGTTTCTTGTACCTGCGCTAACCTCATCGGGCCTCTCTATTTCAATGTTCGATTGGAATAAAGAAACAAACAAATTCAGTGTAAAAAATTAATATGATTGCTTATAAAGATCGTATTTTTCTTTAAATGGGGCATGACTCAGGACGGACTTGGGGTGTTCATACACTGGCACTTCACAATTGGCTTGTTATAAGATAGACAAGTGCGGGGTTATGATGATCCCTATGGTTCTTGATCGTGGAACATCCTCAAAACCTGCTAAAAGGAATTGATAAAAACCCATCAAAATCATTAAGAGTACGAAAAAAGTCAAATGGTTCTGAAATTGTAATATGCGCAGGACCTGATGCATTTTCCTTTCCCCGTTCCTAGTGGAAGAATGACGAGATGCTGCTCTTGGTCCCACCACTTATCAAAAATATCCCTCACTAGACTGTCGTCACCATCGCTTTTGTTCATTTTCCACTCCACCGATGTTCTCTGTGTATGGATTGGAGGGGCGGTGTTTTTCCCTCGGTATTTTTTGGTCGCTTGACGGAATAGATGCCCCAATGCCAAAGGAAAAGGTATTACTAATAAATAAATAAATAAATAAATCAGACTATGTATGAGATCTTTTTATATTCATATCATGGGAGTTGAGAAGATTTGTGTATCTTGGGTTCTCTAAGTCAATATTGGGTAATTGATCTTAATGGAATTATTATGAGTTTGCCAGGTTTTTGGGTCAACGAAATGGGTCTTTGCGATTTGGAAGGAGTCGAGTGTCATTTATCTAGACTTGGAAGAGAGATCATAGGTTGAGTTCTGGATAACAAACCTAATTAAAGATTGCTGTGTTGGATTTACTACGTATAATATATTATTGTTAATACTATTGTTGATAGGTCATATTTTGGGAAAACCCATTAAGCACTGTTTCCCACTCAGAGAATATATCACATTGCCAAATGTTCTAAGCCAAATGATGCTTGCTTGTTGTTGAAAAGAGATTAGCAAATATTTTTATTCCTTTCCAGTGAGGCAACGTTAGAGTTCCTTGGTCTCCACTCTGTTTGCCTGTTGTAAACTTGCGCATTTGAAATATACTAGTAATATTTTGTTGGTTTTCTGGATGTTTTATATGCATTGATGAAATATTTTCCAATTGCGCAATCTAATTCTGTTGGCTAAATGTTTCTACATATTTCAAGTTGTTATTTTGCAGCTAGCAGTGAAGATGATGCATAATTGTTCCCCTTCACTAGAGTTGGCATGAATAGGAAATTGCCATAAATAAAGTATGCCTCTTTTTTAAAGTTGTTCTTTGATCTTTTCTTCAAGATGCAATTACAATATATTTTCTCATCTAAAAGTATTCACAAAAGCTTGAATTTCATTTGCAATTTTAGTGTACCCTTGGGTTTTCTTTGAGGATTTGTTGATTGTTAACTTTTTCCAGATTAGTCTATATGCATGTTTTTTCTTTGCTGTATTTGTTTTCTTAAATTTGATTTCTCAGAGCCAAACGTGTTGAACCTAATAAAATCTCATAGCTTGCTCTATACATATTTGTTTGGTCAGTGAATGGTCTAACAATCTCTGGATTAACTTGGCACATTAATGACAGCGCGATCTGCCGTCATGACAAATAAACCACAGAGGTTTCCACCTTTGCAATGGAAGAAAGATCACAATGGTTGGATCTGGGGCTACGTTAACGTGTTTGACTTGGGCAGTGGCCGGTCAATTAAAAACCTACTTGCAGAAAAAAGGCAATCTAGAAGAGAAGTTGGTGAGAATTTTTTGAATATAAAACCTTGATCTCAATGGAGCATAGCCAGCCTGGCATTAACACCAATTCTTGCATTTGTAGTAGTACTATGTAATATACAACCTAAAGTACAACACAACACACTTAATGCCCCTATCCCAACTTTGTCTTTTCATCAGGTTCTAATTCATGTATGAAGTTCGAAGCACCAAATCCGTGTGAAAAGAGCTTTAATGTCAAGGTGGGTAATTATCAACCCCGTCTTGAGTAAGTTTTTCTGATCTCTTTTTTAAGGTGCTATTTGTTCAAGGAAAATAATGAAGAAAATCTGAAAGTAAACTTGTACGTGTTCAATAAGTTTTTTTTTTTTTATAATTACTAAAATTTAACTTACTGGCAAAATATGACTGCTGGTTACTACAGTTACTGAAAAAATAAGATGATGGTCACTACAAAACACATTTGAACATCAACATAGCACTACAGTTTGTGTGAAAATACCACCATTACCATTCAGCTGTAGAAGTCTTATTTTCTCCATTACTTTTATTTTTGTTATATATTTGTCTTTATTTCATCTAATAAAAATCAAATCTCATAGTACATATTCTAAAAGGTTCAGGATGTTGATAAAAGTGTGGCAGCGACTCTAGAGTTTAAGACAAGTGTGAAGGAACTGATTGAAGAAGATATGTTAGCTGATGAGCAAAATCTTAAGAAACAGAGAAATGACATTGAACTTGATCCTGGAGCATGTAGTTTGCGCAAGGGAAGGAGCGTTACAAAGTGGAACTCCAAGAGGACATATGAAACTTATGATAGATCCAGAAGAAGTATGTCTCTACCTGATTTGGATGATCTCAACTCTGATACCAAACTGCCAGATCAAGTTGATGCTGTTCTTGAAGCAAAGTTAGGTGCAGCCATTGAGATGTTTGTAAGCCACAAATTGAAGAGTGCTAGATGCTTGGGAGAAGATGAGGTAATTGATAACTCCAAAGAGTTTACAGATGCTTTGAAAACACTAAGTTGCAATAAGGAATTATGCTGGAGACTCTTACGAGATCCAAAATCTAGGCTGGTGAAGCACATTGAGAGCTTAGAGGATGAAGGTGAGGAAGGGAGGACAACTACCACAAGGCATATTAAATCTAGTGTGATGCAGAAAGATGATACAGTTAAAACAAGAAAGTGTCGCTTTTTTCGCAGGAGAAGAAAGAGTCAGGAAAGCTACCACCATCCTTCAATGGAATATGAGAGATCCCATCCTTCTACCAAAATTGTAATTCTAAAACCTTCAACCGCTGGCTTACACCCGTCTCATAGCTTGGTCAATAAGTTAGAGCAGAATGTGAAAAACTCATCGCACTTCTCATTCACAGAGATTAAAAAAAGGCTGAAGAAAGCCATGGGAAAAGAACGGCAAGAGATCCCTAGGGACTTGGCTATTCGTAAAAAGCACAATAATACCAACAAAGTTGGGATCAGTGGAGAAAATAATGGATGGAGCTCTCCAAACAGAAACCATTTTTACAGCGAGAGATTTGCGAACCCTCCCTTTAACTTCACAAGAGGAGATAAGAAAGGTAAGGAAAAAGATATTGAAAATGAAGAATCTAAATATATTAAGCTGGATATATCAAACACCACTCTTCAGGGAAAACAGGAAAAAGAGGAAGAGTTAATTAGTGAGGAGCTTCCTCTTGAGGCTCAGTCTTTGGCTGCAGGGATCAATTCAGAACACGTTAATGCAAGGGTTGAAGTTCCATGTGACCTTACTTGTGACAATTTATTGGAAATAGACATTTCTTCTTGTAATTATGAAGTAGCTAAATCAGGTACCCTTGGGCTTAGGAAACTTCATTTTTCTCTTTAATGTTTCTCCAATGCTCACACTTTAAATTAATTTCTCTGTTCCTAACTATTCTAGATAGGGAAGAATCAGCCCCAACTGGATACCAGGAGGATGAAAAGGTTTTAGGTGCCTCTTGTGAGCGAAGTAGCTTTTCAGTTACCATAGATAGTGGACATGATGTCACACAAACGGTGGACGAAGAAACCTCCTTCAAAATCTCAGAAGTTGCATCCAGATATTTATCCGTAAGTAGTTGTTTTCTTTTATCTTGCTTTGTGTTTTATCTATTAAGTCATCTCATACTGACTGAATATGAAGTTACAAACTCACATTTAAGGCATAGGACTACTCTTCAGGTAAAAACCGCAAAATATAAGAACAGATGCACGTATGAATATTTGGACTACTCCTATCAAGTTGACGCATTCATTTCTTAAATTTTGTATTAGACATTTAGACCCAGTTAAGCTCACAGAAGCAACCGATTTGACTCAAGCCAAAAAAGAGTATCAAAATTGGTCTACTCCCACAAGCCACTACTGAGATGGTTAAGCTGTCTCAAACCAAATATAAAGATCAAACTCACGTATAAGACTTTAAAGTACTTGTGTTATATTGTTTTCTTAATGCACATTAATTTCACGATGAGTATTACTCCATTCCCTAACCATACACGACTTTTATTTCTTAGGATTCCTCTGGGGAAAAAGAAAATTTTTCTTGTTGGTCGGCTTCCCCTGACGTCAATCCTTACAGCACTGTGTACCATCCAGGTTAGGATGTTTTGAAGTTTCCTAAATGTTACTTGGCATTATTATAGTATAATCCATTTTCATGTTTTGAGCTTTCATGAATGAAGTCTCTGTATGTGTCTGATGCAGTTGAACTCCCAATTCAGCCTCCGAGTGTCCATTTCAAGGAACCAGCAGCTTCATTGGACCAACAACTTGATATGTTTACTCTTTCAGAAAATGAGGAGTCTGCATTTGAATATGTCGAAGCGGTGCTGCTAGGTTCAGGATTAAATTGTGATGAATATCTATTACGCTGGCTTTCTTCAGATCAGATTCTTGATCCGTCGCTGTTTGATGAAATAGATTTACTGACTGATCTGTCCTGTCGAAAACTCCTCTTTGATTGTGTGAACGATGTTCTTTCTGAGATATGTGGCCGCTACATTGGCCAGTTCACTGGCATGCCATTTATTAAACACAACCTTCGATCAGCTCCAAAGGGGGTGGCCCTAATCCAAGAGGTCTGGAAAGGAGTTGAATGGTGGTATCATCTCAACAACACTCCACCACCCACCCATTCTTTGGATCCGCTAGTTGAAAAAGATATGGCAAGGCCTGCAGCATGGATGGACCTGAAATATGATATCTTAAACATTGTTTTTAGGATGGAAGAAGCTGTTCTAGAGGAGTTGGTGGAGGAAACTCTTTTGATCTTTGCGGATGATATACTTTGGAGGGCTATGGCGTCCCCTCGGCAGAGAGCAAAGTAGAGGTCAACTATGACTAGAGAACTATAGAAACTCGTTATAAAAAAAATGGAAACTTGGGGGATTGATCATAGAAGATAACTAGTTGAATCTTGAGCATCCTGAAATTAATAGCTATACTTGGTCCCAAGTATGTTTGCCATGCAGCCATGCCAGCTCAATTTCAGTTTCGTCCCTCATGTGCTAGGAATGAGGTACTGCACCGTGCTTCGTATACAACTTCTACTGTTCATTAAGGGCCTGTTTAGAACCCAGAAAATAATAGGAGAAGAATAGGAAAAAATATATGAAGAAGAATTGGAAGGTAAAAAGAGTAGGAAAACATATAAAGATAGCCAAAAACACAATAAATTTAATACATTGTAAAATAAGATATTCTGACAGTTGGACCCATGTCATGCTTTTATGCTACTAACAACTGTTGTTAGATTTAGTGAGTTGGTTTAGATGAAGTCATTGAATGTGATTGCTTTTCCAATGTCCCAAAGAAACATAAAAAAGGACAGTATATGTCCAACTATTATATAATTATATCAACTTTATCTATCACTGGAAAAACAAACTGCCTTCAAATTGTTATGGTCCTATGATTTTGTAAGGGAAAGAACATATTGTTTTAAGAAACCTATTTCTACATAAAATGTTTAACAAGCTTAAGAAATATGTCTGTTGATAAAGTGAATGGTGCCATGGTGGTACCATTAGAAAACTTTATAAATCCCCCCCCCCCCCCCCCCCCCCCCCCCGGTTTTGGAGAATGGTGCTTTTTCATTCTTGCAATCAACACACAACTTACCTTCCTTCTCTAAGCTCCGTCTCTTTAAACCTGAATCAACTAACCGTTAATATGATTATAAGATGGTGGATTTAAAGACTAAGACAAGATTAGGAGGGTGGAAGAGTTTCGACTACTCTTCAGCAGAAACTACGGCAGATGAGTGGTTTGGAATGATACTTTCCTAGTGGGGAATCCAAAGAAATCCGTGTTGAAGGCGTGGTCAAGCGTATATCCTTCAGCTTCAAATTGAGGAATACAACATAATTACATAATGAAAGACAAGCAGAGTCTTATTTAAGTGGTTGTCAAGGCCAACATGGTACATCACACTCATGGTTTCTGGAATGGCAGCAAGAAAAGATTCATCAAAAAGGTCAAACTGCCGAAAAGAATTTTAACTAGAAGTGCTATAATTGTTGCAAATGGTTATAAATATTTGGAGTGACAGGCACCAAACGAGATGAATGTCCAAGATAAAAGTGGCTAGGTCTGACCTGAAAGAATGCTGAATTAGCACGGCCATTAGGCACGTATACTTAACCAGTACATGATCACCATTTTTAACGGATATGCATGGTTGGAGCATCCTAGAATTGGTCATGAAGGTAACTTTAGGCAAACAGTTTCTTACAGTGTTAAAAGGGATAGCAGTATTCTTTGTTTAGCGATGCTATCTCATTTGAACTTGCACAAATAATGCTTTTTATAGCTGCAATTTCTCAAATTAAATTAGCTATCTAATTCCCTACTTCCATTAGTTTTTTTTTGTTCTTACTGATTTGAGAAGAATGTGACGCTCGTCTCAACACATGCGCTGAATGTGGTGGGATCATGTTTTGCGAGAGCTTCGTGAAATGTGTAGTGAAGTAAACAACTTTGTTTTTCTTCTCTATTTTTGTTTATTGTATTTTTGGTGTTGCAAAAGTTAGAAAATAAAATGGAATTGATTATTGCAATGTTATGTACGTACTACAAAGTGACATTGTTGTGTTCCTTTGATTTGCTTTTGAAGTTTTTGTTTTGTAAAGCAAAGCTACTTTTAGTCTTGCTTTTGCATATATGCCTCAAATCCAACAATCCAACGTCAAGAGTTACTTTATTAAGTTTTAAGTTCATAACGTCCACCATTATCTATGTTCATTATGATTTTTATGGTTAAGCTTGTTATTGTGCAATGGAGTTATTCTTTATTTCTTCACTATAACTAGTGACATAAGTCCTATCTTCTTTAACAATGTCTAACCTTGGTAGAACTTGCTATGCTCACTGTATACTAATGTGCATAACTCCACATGCATATGATTTTAAAATTCAAAATAATCCATGTAACGAAAATACTCCATGTATGAAAAACATTATCATCATTTATACATAAGTGAACTGTATGAATGAATTCAACTATTCAAGTTTCAAGTTTTGAAACCTCAAAGAGTTTTGTTTCGTGTACATACCGCGTTACACACCAGCTTACAACCCAAGTGTATTTGTCTGTGTACAAACAATTACGCTTAGGTATTAATAAAGCGAAGTGTTTGTGACTCCAAAAAATGAATTGTTTGTGCACATACAATTCAAGATCACAAACACTTCCCTTTACTAAACCCAAACATAATTGTCTGCGTACAGACAATTACACTTGGGTGTGTAAGTCAGTTTGTAACCTGGTGTGTCCACGAAGCAAAACTCAACTTCAAATAATAGCGAAATAGACTTGAATCAAAATAAATGGATGCAAAAACGACTCTTATACAAAAAATGAAACAACACGTACATTGGAGTTTCATAACTTCATTAGTCAACTGGATGGCAGAAAATTAAACTTACTCTCACGTATTACTCCATATTTATTACAAGGGTGAGATAAATCCAATTATACATAGGATTCACATATTCTTTATTACAAGGGGAGATAAATCCAAGTATACAAAATATCCTGGTCAAGGACTACCATCTTGAAAATCTTTACCACTGTTCTAACACAATGAATTAAAAATTTTATTTTCAATTTCAATTTCACTTACCGCCTGTAGCTATTAGTAGGACTAAATTATTATATGGAAGTATGGAATACCCAAAATAAAAAGCACTATATTTCCTAATTATGTTGTAATTATGTGTTGCCATGATGATTGGTCTATTTGTCCTTCAAGAAACCAGGCTAAATTATCCCAACTTTCGCTTCTTGTTTTGAATGTCGTGAAAGAGGACTTTTGAGGTTTTTTGAGGAACCTATCCTCCCTCCAGTTCATGAAAAGTACCATAAGAAGAAGGCGAATATGCTTGAGGAACATCCAATGCAACTGCCCGCTTTAATGCTGCCTTGTGCTCCTTTATGTGCTCCTTGGCAAGAGATTCATCACGCTCCATTCTCTGATGTGTGGGAATACCCATTGCATTATCTTTCTCTAACAATATCTGTACAAAGTTATGTTGAATAAAACAGGCCAACAGAAAGCCAAAGAGGAACTACCATACAATTGGCCTAAAAGAATTGCTGCATAATACTCACTTCAAGTGCCCTTTGAGATTCTTTCAGTATGCACAAAATTGAATGATCAGACAGCAACTTGCAAGAAAGAACAATGTGTTCAAACCGTCCATCCACAGGTATAGCTGTTCTGACAAGTGGTGATATCTCTGCAAAGCTGCAGTGAGGAAACAATATTTCATTTGTTTCCTAAATCAACCCAACAATTATCAATGGGTTATTTAATTAAATTTATATTTAGCTGATATTGGATAACTCCATCATCCTCCTCATGGCTACATCTGTGGTTACTTATCGGATCATCTGGATCTTATACCATTTTAAGAAAAAATGTTGGCCTAACACAGTCCCAAAAGAGAAATCTCAAAAAACTCCCCGAGAACTTGTTCACGGGTTCATTAATTCATATTTAGCGGAAATTGGACAACTCCATCAGTGTCTTTTCATTGAATTGAAGGTGAGCCTAACTTGGGTTGTTAATCAAATATGGCTATCGTTTAGTCTTTGTAATGAAAAGGTTTGTCATACTCCTTGCTAGTCCGCCAACTAAACAAGCAAAAATAGCTACCTATTTTTTTTTTTTTTTTTTTTAATGGAGATCACGTTCTTATGTGTACTAAAACACATTCCCAAACTCTCATGTAAAAAACATCTACAAACCTGAAGGGCTTCCTGGCAATAATGTGATAAAGACGCCCAGCTGCATAGAGGCGTCGTGGATCTTTAAGCATTTTCTCCTCCTTAGTACATGTATCTTGCAGGCACTTTATGCAGAGCACACATGGGAAACTATCATAAGTTAATAATGGATATTAGTAAAGTAAAAGTTGAATGATATGATTGGTACTGTTATTTCATCAAATTTCTACGGGTTAAATTTTGTATAAGTTGCTTTAGCTTGATGGTAAAAAACAAACAAACTGACGCACTGCTATCATTTTCTCCAGGAGCGTTTACCTACATGATCATATAAAATTTCAAATCCTACTCAAAGGAAGCACGAGAAGTAACTATAATCTTTTACCAGAAAAGTGACTTGAACGCATTTTCCTGTCCTACCGTAGTCCGGGGTAAGAAATCATCCTGATTAGGTATCAAAAGGTAATTATTAGGTTGTGCTTTAGTGCGAAAAGGAACACTTCAGGAATGAAAAATGGACGAAATAATAAAAGCTGCTATGTATCGCAAAGTATATATATAAAGTACAGCATGCTAATAATTTCGTTTAAAATTTATAATATCTGAAGATTTTCCAATCTGTTAAGACTTGAATAGAATTTAAATTTAATAAATTCCAATGAATAGTTACCAGAGCAGCCTATAAAAAACTCAAGCTCAAAGAAAAAAGAACAGGAAAATGCTATAAAAACCACTACATACCTGCAATACAATAGAATTGATGATATCGGCATATCGGACTGCCAAATTTAGCGAAACACACCTTGCGGGAGCAACCGCGTAACATTTGATCCTTTTCCTCTCCACGTTACCCAACTGCTCCCTGTTCTTAACAGCTAACATTGCCAACAATGTCACCACTCCCGCCCCTAAAGAATGCCCAGCAAATGTCAAGGTATAGTTCGGGTATCTCTCGATAAGTTCTCCCAGAACCTCGGAATCCTTTTCCAACAACCATTGGGCTGACTTCAACAGTCCATTATGAACATAACCGCCATCGAACTCGGCCTGCCCGAGTTTGTCATCTAGAAGGACAAGATAATCACTCTCCTTTCCCAAATTGAGACCCCTAATGGCTACAATTATTTCCTCATTGTCATGACAAAGGTATATCATATAAGGTGCTACTTTTCCTTTAGTGTCCTCATAGCTTCTCCTCACCACAATCATATCAGGATCAACACCATATCCTCCGGGTGGGGCCCAAAGCGGGTTTCTGAGATCATCCTCATACACCGATAGAATATACCGGCAAAGCCTAGGGACAGGCTCGAATTCACTTGAGGTCGCCAGGCCCCAGCCTTCACTTTCTCGACCCGCGGTATAAAGGAACTTCTTCCAGGCCCAACGGGCACAGGCTAAACAGTACACACATTCAACAATTGGCACACAGCAGGTCAATGACATTTCTGCCTACCAAGCTACCACCATTCTCTTCAAAAATCACAACTTTCTAACCCAATGGACATAGACAGACTAAGACTAAGGTGTATATATGCAGAAAGCCCAAATTCAGAATAGCAAAATCTTTCATGAGAATTGGGTGGTTTCAGAATTTATGGAACAGAAGAGAACAAAAATCAGCTTCCGATGAAAAGGAAGAGGGAAGTTCATACCTTTGTCAAAAGATTGAAATATACTCATTAAGAAACAAAAAAAGGATGGTGATGATGCAAGGTTTTGGTTGTACTGCTCATCTTCTCCTATCAGTTGGGAGTTCCATGAAGAACGTGAAATTGCAGAAAGCAGAGACGAAGAAAGAATGGAGAACAAAATGGACAATAATATATGCTGTGCAAGAAACGGAATCGATTACTGAACGAAGAAACTGAATACTTTCTTGTCGAGTCTCGACTATGTGATAAACTAACTATATACAGCGCCGTACAGGCACAACTTTGTAGACCTTTTTCGTTATTTTAGTCGAACACAGAGAAAACAGCGGGGCAGGGAGTGAGGGACGAGCTGACCAGACAAGTATTTTATGTTTCGTCCTTTTCTACTTCTAATTAAAAGAAAATTGCGGAGTAGCGCAAATCTTACTGGCGTACCAAAAATTATATTTAAGGACAGAATCAATAAAATAATATCACTCCGGACAATAATAACAAGTATTTAAAGTTATAATAATATGGTTAGGTATGGATGTACTCAAAGTACGTAGTACGAAGTATATGTCAAGAAACATTATGAAAATTATTATAATAAAAGTATGACCAGTAAACATCAATATCTACACGCAAATTATATCGTGGGATCAGTCCACTGTGAGCACGGTGTGCCGATCCCAAACGGTACCGTTTTAATTAGTAAAAAAGAGTCGTCGTCTTCCGACATCAATGGCCGCGACCAATTGTTGAGCTCCTTCCCATCGTGAAAAATTTCAGATTCTTCATTCGATCACACTACTGTCTTCCATCCTCATCATCCGCAACAAACTTACTGCTCAATCCCTATGGTTTCATTTAGTTCAGAACTCTATCCATCAAATCCCTAGTCCCTAGACAACCTCAAATTCTTCCTCTCGCTGAGTACCTCTGCAACCGTTCAAATAAACAACTCAACAATCACTTTCCATTTAATCAATGATACATTGAGCGACGGGATAACATGTTTGAACATATCAATTTTGTTGGAGATTTGGCTGCGGATGAAAGCCAACGTTAGCATCGTTACCCACCCCAGCTAGGCCGAAGCTGAGAGCAGAGAACCCACCTGACCGCCTGACATGGGGATGAATTGGGATTAAGTTTCTGCAGGGGATAACATCAATGGATATCTTGAAACGCCAATTTGTTTAAGTTTTGTCATTTTTTTATCTAAGAAAAATTACATTTTTATTGAAACGGTTTACATTTCCATTTATCTTAAGACTTAAGTTACATGTTTATTAACGTGAGTTGCATGTCAACTTTTTTCAGCAAGTTACATCTTGCTTACATGTGATTTACATTTGTCATACTGCGAGTTACGTCACAAAACAATGTGTGTCACACAACAAAATAAACCCTTGTTATTCAAAAAAAATATTTTTTTTATTAAAAATCATTTTTAATGGCCCTGATATTAAAAAATATATATACACTATTTATGTAATATATAATTGATCAATTAGACTCTTTTTCATTATTTACATTAAATTCAATGTTTTACTTCTTATATTCTGTTTTAGATAACTTACATTTCAACTTGACTCAAGTTACATTTCTTAATAATGTCAGTTACATTATTTTAAACACGAGTTACATCAAGCCTACTGCTAAAATAAAAAACAAAGCCATGGGAGCAGGATGCTCAAGGTGAGCCGCTCCCACGGCATACCAATTGATATCTACATGTTTACAAGAATAAAAAAAACTTTTACCATAATTTTATAAATTCTTATAAAATTATGTACACATTTATTTATTATCTATGTCACTATGTGCATGGTAAGAGAATAGTTTGTTCCGCGATTACTATTCTTAAAGACAATAATATTATTTTTAAAGACAATAATATTAATAATAAACTATCTTCCCTGAATCAAGAATAATACGTACTATGAAAATATATTGGGAAAACTATCAAATAAGCCCTTGTACTATACCGAAAAAGTCGATTAGGCCCTCGTACTTTACAAACACTCAATTAAGTCCTCGAACTATTAAAAAACGTTCAATTAAGCCCTTTCGGTCGGTAAGTAACCGGTTTCCCGGTTAAATGTAACCTGTTTCCCGGAAGCCGTCGTTGCTGGGGTTCGAGCACATCGTCGCCATCGTCGTCGTTTAACCGGGAAATCGGTTACTTACCCACCAAAAGGGCTTAATTGAACGTTTTTTAATAGTTCGAGTACTTAATTGAGTGTTTGTAAAGTATGAGGGCCTAATCGACTTTTTCGGTACAGTACAGGAGCTTATTTGATAGTTTTCCCAAATATATTTTAAAGAAAATTATAAAATTATATTTTTAAAGATAATAATATTAATATATAATAAACTATTTTTCATGAAACAACAATAATACGTACTTTAGAAATACGGAGTAATTTTTAATAATACCAACTATTAGAATATATACCAAAAATGATATAAAGCAATTTTCACTAAAAAATCATTCATTTAATTCATCAAAAACTATAATAAAAATATAAATTAAGTGACTTTAATTCGAAATATCATTTATTTGATAGTTTAATTTTATTATTGATGTCTTAAATTACTGGTATTCTTGCCTAAAAGTGACTTCATATTATTTTTATTTTACATTCAAATAGTTGATATTACTAGAAATTATGGAGTATTTTCAAAGTATGTATTATTATTTGTTCATGGGTGATAGTTTGTATTATTTAAACTTATTTCCCATATAATAATTAATAAATAAACCCATAAGAAGATGTCATATAATTTTTCTTAAAAAGGACCATGTTGTGCATATATTCTTTTTCAAACAAGAGTACACTGATTATTTTTATGATTAAGATAAATACGGCGTAAATTACATCCTACAGCCGGCTATACTATGCGCAAGGTACAGCCGGACTTTTTAAACCTTTTTGCATTTCTCACCCTCGCACAAGCTTCATACCAGACCTCCGGACAGAACTTCACAGACGTTTTTGCACCAGATTTTGCACAGGACTTCGCATCTCGCTTATTCAATCTTCTTGGGCTTCTTCAATCTGATTTCGCACCAGCAGCTCGTCGCCAAAGTTCACCACTCGCGCCCTTCTCCACCCTACTTACCTACTCACCTCTCCTCCCTCTGTATTTCTTTCCGGCGTAGTTGCCGATGTAGTTTTACTGTTTGAGCATGTGATTTTAGGAGACAAGGAAAGTCTACTTTGTTGCTGAGGAATCCTTGTTGCTCTTAATTTCAAATGAGTTTTACATTAAACTCAAATGAGTATACGCCTAAAAGGAATGAACATATACAAATGAATGATGTACACATTAGAAATGAGTTTTATGTTATGATCAAATGAGTACAGCGTTCAACATGAATGAGCATACATAAATGAGCTTTTGAATTTTTGATACTCATTTTCTAAATTATAAATACTAATTTGATACCACTTTATGCTCATTTTAAAATGTTGCACATTTTAAACGTATCCTACTACATTAGATTCACATAATGAAAAATAATAAAACAAAAATGAATTGGAAGATAGAAAGCAGAGAACGCTGATGCTCATTGGTGGGTCCTAATACTAAAAAAACAAACCTAATGCTCACCAAAATTGCATCAATGCTCATTTTAGGGAATCCGTGTTTTTCATCAAAATTACAAAACGGCCACCGGCTGTACTGTGGGCACCGTATAGCCGATTGTATAGTATACGCATTATAAATTATACCATGTAATAGCTTCTGTTGAAATATTATACACTAGCTTTCAATCCCGTGCGATGCACGGGGAGTATGTAATTTAGCTAATTTGAAATTTAATTTCTATCGGATCACATATAATGTGATTTAAAAGAAAAATAAACTTAGTCTAATATAGAGCCTATTTGATAATACTAAAGTAAATAGAATTAACTTATTTTGCTGAAATTGATTGAATTCTGGTTAAATAGGTGGAATCTTCCGAATCATGAAAAATATATGTGAAATATATTCCATTTGTGAAACAAAGAAAAATATATATGAAAAAAAGTTAAATTGGTCTTCTACATAAGCATCTCAAGTAAACATAATTGTTATGAACCCAATAATAAAAAAATTCTATATTTCTTAATTGTTAGATCTTACAGTTTACTCATTAATAAGAACATTTTTAATTGAATTAAAATTTCGGGTTTGATTTGGTATGAATTAATATGGTCTATTAGATGTCTGTTTTTGATGTGACTTATTGTTATAATTATTAAAGTTTGATTTGATCTGAGTTAATCTGGAATTGAAATCAATCCAATTAAAAACATTCTATTAAAATAAAAGTAGGAATTCGTAAACCTATAAAGATTTTCTAATTTGGATTAGGAATATATTTCAAAAGTGAAGGCATATTTGAATTTTAGGTGTAAAATAAAGAAACAACCAAAAAAATTTACTTATTTGGCTACGCTAAACAAATTTACTTGTGAAAATATATATACTTTATGTTGGTTATAATTTTTAATTTCATTTTTAATTATTTACTTATTTGACGCTTACTAATTTATTAATAGGTGTCAAATTAATAAGTAAACTAATTTGCATATTTGTTTCTATTTAATTCGGTGTAGTAAACTAATATAAATTAGTTTCCATATCAATAAACGTTATTAGAATTTCACTTTGATAACCAAAAATTATTTTACTTATTTGAAGCTTACCAAATTAATTAAGGTGGCTTTATAAGGATTTTTGTTTCCATATCAATATGCAATCAAAAATAGAATCTAATAAAAACAAAAGGTATAAAAATAAGTAAATAATTTTTATATATAATGACATGGCAGGATTATGTGACGCTTTTTATGCTCTTAAAAAGTTTCTCTTATATATATATATATATATATTGATTTAAAGTTGTTGACTTGTTGGTGTACCAGGAGTAAAAGCGCGAATAGTAGTAGTTAAAAATTGCAGATAATTTTTTCTTTTGTTTTCAAATTGAGATTTTTCAATTAGAAATAATAAAATTATTTTCTAAAGGAAGATGAATAAAATTAAAAAAAAATGACATGTATATTACTAATAGAGTTTCTTAGGATAAAATATACTACGTAACTAATTATGACTATGAGAAAAAAATGACTAGTCATTGTGTACGAGTAACTGAATAAATAAGAGTCACTATAGTACATTTTAGAGTGACAAGTCACTAGCACATGATGCGTCAATGGGAGCTAATCACTGAATATGTCATTTTTTATGGAAAACTTTAACTCACTGATATTCATGGAAAAAAAGACATAAAATTATAGGAGAATTATATAAAAATATATTTAAATGTACTCGAATTCAGAAATTAATATCGCTAAAATATAATCTAGTAACAAAGTAATGGTTGCATGCATGTCGATTATAATTGTCTTAAGTAAATATATGCAGGGGTGGAGGAACTAGCTATGGGCTTGGAGGAGCTTGAGCCCCCAGTTGTTTTTATATTTATTATATATATATATATATTAAACATAAAATTGAAAGTTGTAAATATTAATAAAACATGTTTGCTATACAATAATAACCAGTATGTTAACAAAAAGACATTGCATCAGAGTGGAGGAAGCATTCCGTGCATGTTTTAGCATTATGAAATGGTCTAGGGTTTGAATCTCATCTTTGTTAACTTTATATTTTGCTTTACTTGTGTCTTTTTAAAGCTCTAAATTAATTTAAAAGACTTTAAATAAATGTATTCAACAAATCAACACATCATATTTAATTTCTTGCTTTTTGGTTTCATAAAAATTTCATTTGATCTTTTATGTAATTAAATTTGTGATTTCTCAGTTTGCATTTCAAGATAATATTTTCAAGAATAAAATATATATGTAGTATATTCTAGATGGTGGATGCAACATCTTTCGGAGACCTTCGCTTTCTTTCTCATTAAGTGCCCCTCCAAGGTCCCCGAGCTGATTCCGCCACTGAATATATGTGTCATATTTGAGAGAATGGATATATTTTTCCTTAATACTCCCTCCGTCCCGTTGGAATGTTCCCGCTTTCCTTTTTTGAATGTCCCGTTAGAAAATTCCCATTTCCCTAAATGGAAAGTTATCCTACATCAAAACAGGGTCCAACAGTGCAAAACGGTGTCAAACAGTGTCGAAACAGTGCCAAACGATGTCGAAACAGTGTCAAAACAGTAAAATTTACCCCCTGGTAAGTTTATTTCCTTAATATGTGTGTAGGTCAAACTGGGAACATTCCAACGGGACGGAGGGAGTATGATATAATGAGTATTTTTAGTGAATGTGAAAGCACTATGAGATAAGAAAAATAAATGAAGTGAATTATTTCTAAAGCTATGCATTATAATAGTAATTCTTTTCTACTCATTATGCTTGCACTCTAACTCATTTTTTAGGGTGTGTTTGCAATAGCTTAAAAAAAGCGCTTCTCACCTTTTGACTTTAAAAAACTAAAATTAGTGTTTTCAATTGACAATTTCTACTTAAAAAAGCGCTTCTCGGCTTTTGGGTGAAAAATGTTTTTTACTTTTTCTATATATTACACAACACTTATTTTCTCAAACACTACCAACTTTTACTTTTCAAAATCATTTTTTTCTCAAACACTATCAACTTTTACTACTAATAATTTTTCCCAAAATCACTTCAAAAAGTGTTTTTTAGCAAAAGCATTTGCAAACACTCCCTTAATGTATGTACATCATATTAATTCATTTTCGATACTAAATTACTCCGTATATCATAACAGTATTCACTTAAGAATTAAGAAATTAAATCCTAGTTGTATTTGCTAGTTGCATGATACTGAATTATTGCATTAATTGTATACGGAGTACTAGATAAGTAGATAATGCATGTTTACTCGCGTTTCATCAAAAGCGAGTTTTTTCCGGGAATAATGCTAATTAAATAAATAATTCGGCTAGGGAAGAAGGGGGGTTTTCTGCGAATTAATGAGCCGCCACTCGAAGTGACGGCTTTTGTGAAACAGGAGAAGAGCCGCCACTCAAATTGGCGACTTTTGTGAAGTAATACAAGAGCCGCCACTTGAAGTGGCGGCTTTGCTTAACCCTGGTTAACCCCAGCAGTATTTTGGGAATTATTATTAACCCGGCAGTATTTCGGGAATGATTTATTTATTTAGCATTATTCCGGGAAAAAACTCATCAAAAGCTACTCTTATATATAAAAATTAAACAAACAGACAGAGTCAAACAGACATTAATAATTAATTGATTTATAATAAGGAAAAGTACTATAAATATTATTTTTATTTTCTTAAATTGACAATTTAAATTGTTATAATTAGGGAAATTTATTCAAATACCCCAAACTTTAGTGGGTGTGAGGTAAAAGAGTCCCAAAGATACTGATTTTATTAGTTTCTCTTGGACCATTCTAGGTACATGCAGAAATTAAGGTACCTCAAATTGTTATAAAAGAGAGACAGTACAGCAGTTGTTGATATTTACATACTCGAGAGCTCAAAAGCCCAACCACTACTCTCAGACAAGTAATATTAATGCAAGGTAGGCATATCCATGATTTAGATCTCGTATTAACCTGAAAATGAGCTCAATCTTCTGAATGTAATCACATCATGGCATAACATTTAAGCAATATGTTGTGGACTGTGTAGTGTGGACTGCGTGTAAATGACTCACTAAAGGATATTTACATTACACGTTGGCTGACGTTGTTAGCATGTTTCTAAGGCAGTGATGTGATTTCTTTCTTTCTCTCTTTCAGATGAATTGCTGGATGGAATGAGCCCTCAGGCTAGACATATTGATGAATTATAATAATGGAATAAATATATTTGTAATTCATAATCGTTAAAATCATATATAAATAGCCCAGAGATTGGGGAACTGCAGCAGCTTGGGAACAGTAATCATACAAAAAAATGGACCTAGTACCTAAATATGTATTCCATCAATACCCCAAGCCTGCATGTGTTCTTGAATGAATGCTGGATCCCTGGCTGCACACTGGCCATTTGGTAAGATCTTAAGATCCCCAAAGAGTCCAAACAATTTGATGTTTCAAAAAACCAACTTTTGAAGTGCATTGCACCCTTGCAACATTCAAACATATTAGACCAAGGCAGTACTTGCCATAGGCCACAAAACAAGATCAGATGTTTGGGCATGTTCTTACATAGTGTCATACTGGGAGGGGAAGGGGGAGATAAGAGAACCAAGGTCCAGAATTCTACTGGTGGAGCTACTCAAAACCAGCCAGTTCAAAAATAGAAGATGGATGGGGACTTCATTGTTCTGCAGATAAGCAGCCATTCAACGAGGTTTCAGTCAAAAGGGTGGGATATGTGTCAGTGTGTCCTAAGAAGCTCATGTCATTATACATAGGGAAGTCCAACAGAAGCTGCAGAGCCGATTCGGAAGAATCTTCCAACTCGTTCGAACAAGATGTTTCTGATCCTCCTCCTAGTAGAAGATCTTCAATGTAGTTAGATCTGCTGTTCTTCCGATCTGGATGCTCGTCCACCCCAGCACCGGGTAAGCTAAGGTCCATTTCGGTGGTCGTACCTGAGGTCGAGCAGCATTTTGTGGATGAAGACGCTAGAGAAGTCGGTGGGCTTTGACAGGCATTGTCTACGCATTTCTTGAGTTTACGAAATGTTTCCCCCGTCTCAGAATTCCACAATCGTAAGAAGAAGTCAGTTTCAGATCCTCTGATAGTTGATGGCACCAATAGTTTTGATTCTCTTGAAAGCCGAGCCTCAGCTTCTAGCCTAGCACTTTCCCATTGTGCCATGTGGCGGGTGGAGGGGGTCGTATGTAGCCTCGGCAGCCCATTAAATTCCGTTGAGGGTTCGTGAGTCTGAGGGTCAATGCCCATTGAAAGCAGGCGCTTCTTCAGATGTGTATTCCATAAGTTCTTGATTTCATTGTCTGTTCTTCCAGGTAACTGGGAGGCAATGGCAGCCCATCTGAAAGAAGCAGTTACTAGGACTTAATATACATATTTATGCCCTGTTATGAAAATTTGTTGTTGACTCTTGCAGAGGAACTAACTAAACCTGTTTCCAAGAATGCCGTGTAATTGAATGACAAGCTTCTCTTCCTCCGGGGTAAAAGGGCCTCTTTTGATATCTGGCCTTAGGTAGTTTGTCCACCGCAGGCGACAACTCTTCCCACAGCGAAGAAGCCCTGTGGGATGGAAAATGAAAGCAACAATACACAAACCACAAAAAACATCTTAGCGTCTCCTTAAAAGCAACTCCGTGGATTTTCATTTATTTGCCCTTCCCCATTTTAGGATCCATCAGACATGTTGAGATCAGAGAAGACATAAAAACCAATGGTATGTACTCCTCATAAATATATTTTAAAATGTATGTATCTTTGAGTGCTTAAATATAATAATATATTTTAGCCAAAAGTATTGCATTCCTCAAACAAATTCCTACGGAAATGCTGTCGTATTATGGAGGTAATCTATAATTGATAATATCAGCCACAAAAATACACAAGCAAATGCTCCTTTTGATCCTATAGAGATAGGGGAACCATATCTTTTGTTTGACAGCCATTTTCTATGCATTTCTTAGTGTTAAGAATTCATACCAAGTATAGAGCCAATGCCCAGGGATAAAATTTACCCATTTAGATCCTCAAAATTATGTCTTCACGAGCAAATGTTATATAATACAGTATTTTTAAGCAAACACTTCACCTATAATGACATTAAAAATCAGCATACGCCATCATCGGTCATAAAAATAGAACAGAATTCCGATCTCTTTAATAGTAGGATTAGGAAAAGGAAACAATACCTAATCTTGAGATTCCAACACGGTACAATGTATAAGCAGTTTAGCTATCACATAAATATATTTCTTGGGAACTCTTGCTATATGAGTGTCTTATAGGGAGTATGTATGTTATACACTCCTGCCAGTTAAAGCTTACCGGTTCCTTTCATCACAAACTTCTTATCGAGAGAATATTTCATACTAGTATATTTATATTGAAGAACATAGATAATCTGAACTCGTCCGTTATTCAATAAAAAATAAAACATAAATGCTTACATGTGAAAACTGGCTACTAATCAAGTTAATTTGCTCTAAATATATCAATATTTCATAGCTGCTTGAAATAAATCTTTCATATTATTTTATTAGCTAGTAAATAACAACCTTTGTAGACTGGGGACAAGTTACAACCCAAACTGAGATGGAAAAGAGACCTACTATTTCTGTTCAACCAAACACTACAGCATATGGCTTGTAATTTGATGGAGTTGTCTTAAATCGCTTGGCCAACAGGAAATTCAGTCCTATAATAGTGATGGGGGCTAGCTATACTCCAAAAATACTTCTTTTAAAGTTTAGATTGCTTTCAAAATACTTAAAATAACAGATAGGTGAAACATAGGAGCCAGGGTATGAGGAAAGGAGAGAAGGTTCACCTGCAAGCTTGGGAAAAGAACGCCAGCTTCCTTGACCGTTCTTCTTGATGAACTCAATGAGCTTTTCATCTTCCTCGGGAGTCCAGGGTCCTTTCTTCAGCCCTTTCTTGTCACAGCAAGATTTTCTACCCATTCCCACCCCCTCTCAATTTCTCTAGACTTGATTTTCCTCGGTGATCAACAAAAGGCCAGGAATTTGTTAGCATTAATACATGATTCTTTAAAAGTAGCAGAGAGAGGGACAGAGAAAGAGTGTGTATGAATTGACATGTCCTATCGCAACAGTAGTACAGTACCATTCTTACTCTGTATTAAACCACATAGCAGAAAAAATGTGACTGGCAAGGCTGATGCCGTCTACACATTTATTGCCATGATATGATGTCAATATAGGTGTCAGTGTGTGTAAATGAATGATATAAATCCTATGTGAGAAATCTCACTAAGTCAATATCTATTGAGAATGACATCTTTAACGTCGTAGAGTAATACTCCCTTACATGTTACAAAAATTTTCACATTTTGACTTCACCTTAAATAAATATTGTTTGGCACTATTTGACAATGTTTAGCATTTTTTGACACTGTTTTGTGTATATTTATTTGCCAAATAAGGCAAATAAGGAAGTGTAAAGATCTTTCTGGTACTGCTAAAAATGGAAAGTGTAAAGATCTTTCAGAATCGCATGGGGTATTCACTATTATCTACTCCTCCCGATCCTAATAACTTTGCCAAGTTTGACCGTCACAGAAAATAATAAAGTAAAAACTGTGTGATTAAGGTTTATGCAGAGAAAAGAAAATGAGCTGGAATCACAAATTCTTTACTTTAAATGGAAAGTGACAAAATCATTAATGGGATATCCAAAAAACTAAAGTAGGCAAAGTTATAAAGGACGTACGGAATATGTTGTGTATTATAGGGGGTGTCACAAGGAGGGGTCTCACTTCAACTCCAAGCATAACATCTTTAACATCATAGTAATATCCACTATTATCAATGTTGTATATTGTCAGGGGTGTCACAAGGAGAGGTCTCGGTTCAACTCTGACATCTTTAACATTATATAGTAATATCCAGTATTATCTACGGAGTATGTTGTATATTATCAGGAGTGTTACAGGGAGAGGTCTCTTTCAATCAGAGTGAAATCAAAGTACAATTTACTTCATTCGGTTCTGTAGGCCTTTAGGTTGAAGTGTCATCCTTATCTACACTGTATATTTTTACTCCCTAGACTATACTCTCTTGAATGAGTATTACTAGTAGTATATATGATGTTAAAGATGTATACCATATAACCTACGGTTAGAGAGTTATTTTATCCATATAACCTACGGTTTGGGTGGAAGAAAGATTATTTCCTTCAGCAAATCATGTGGCTAAAGTCTTGTAAATGCAGGGACAAGCGTCAAGAACTCAGAAGAGAGTTAATAAATACGTAGTGCTCCAACAGTAAGGGCATGGCAGGCACACATGTTAAAGATGAATATATTACTGAGCCCGCTTCCTGTACACGTCGGGTTACACGCCGGGTTACACATCGGTCAAATTGTCTTTGTACAGATAATTTGACCGGCCACACAGACAATTTGACCGACGTTTTATGAAGAAAATCGATTTCTACACAGATAAAAATAAAGTGTTATCTGTATCACAGACATTTTAGACAAGAATTTCTCATAAAATGTCTGTGATACACACAATTTTGAACGAGAATTTTGAACGAGAACATTAAAATGTCTGTGATACAGAAAAAAAAAATTATTTTTGTTTGTGTGAAAATCAGTTTTCTTCATAAAACGTCTGTCAAATTGTTTGTGTAGTCTATCAAACTGTTTGTACACAAACAATTTGACCGACGTGTAACCTGACGTGCAAAAACTGGCGTACAAAGTAAATTTTCCTATATTACTGCATTCCGCCACAATGTAAGATCCAAGATCCATACGGATTTGACTCGAATATAAAGTAAATACTATGTGTAAAACATAAAGAAAAAGATTGAGATAAAGTTGTTATATACTCCGGTACGTAGTAACTTTAAACTCGAAAAGGTTAAAAGGTAAGAAAAAGCTAGTGGAATTTAATTCTATCCTACATAAGAGAATCCCAGTACCATTTTTCCTCCCATGCATGCATTAAATTCTTTGATAAATTACAAAATCACTTCTCTTATACTCACTACAAAAAAATTCACCTTAGTCACGGACCGTAGTGTAAAAAGTCTGTGACTAACACATTTAGTCACGGATTTTGTCCGTGACTAGTCCGTGGAGCTATTGGGAGGTAATACAGTTTAGACAATGCTGACCTATTTCGTGGTTTCTTTCTACTTTGAGGAGCATGTTTGTATCTGTTTCCATCACAGAACTTGCAGAATTCAAGTGCCTCATCATCCTTCCAGAACAACATACATCCTTGCGGGCACACATCAATTTCTATATAAGGTAGCCCCAACTTAGACATTAATTGTTTCATGTGATAATATGAATCCGGAAGGTTATGATCACGTGGTAGCATCCCGCCTACTGACTGCAAGACTCTATTCATGCAAATTTCAGGGAGACTGTATTCAGCTTTTATGTTCATAAACTCTGTAACGGTGGATAGCTGAGAGTATCCCTCACAATCAGCATACAGGGGTTGATCAACTGCTTTTAAAACATCTTGAAATCTTTCAGCTAAACCTTCATCCACATAAGGTTCGTAAAATATCGGATTTTCATCCTCATGTGGTTGATACGAGGTCGAAGCTTCAGGAGGATCGTTAGATGGTTGTGGGGGGTTGAACTGAGACATCGATGCACCGTATGCGTCATATACCATACGTTGCTCCCATCTCATTTCAGCAGGGTCTCCCCACACACTCATCTCTGCAGGGACGTTACGAGACGAACCTACCGTTTGTGGTAAAACAGATGGATCCAAAGGTTCGCCATGAGAAGTCCAATTGTAATAATTGGGAAGGAAACCGTCCGCGTACAAATCCCACCCAACTTCGTCTGGGTGTTTAAATTTGAGATTTTTACACTTTGAACATGGACATCTGATTTTATCACCACTCATATAAGTCGGGTGTTCAAGTGCGAATTTAATAAACTCCTCAACTCCTTCAAGAAAATTTGATTGCATTCCGTACAATACCGCATGTTTATCATACATCCAAATTATATTTTGTCTATACATTATGCCTGAATATTATAATAAAAAAATTATACAGGTTAAAAACTCTAAATTATAAACATTACCAACATATTATATGTGGAGTATTATTAATATATTAAATTTCACTAAAATTCTCTTTAAATTAACTAATTCCCTAAAATTCCCTTAAAATTAACTAATTCCCTTAAAATTAACTAGTTTCCTTAAATTTCACTAAAATTCACTAAAATTCACTTTAAATTAACTAATTCCCTTAAATTTCAATAAATTTCACTAAAATTTCCTTAAAATTAACTAATTCCCTAAAATTCCCTTAAAATTAACTAATTCCCTAAAATTCCCTTAAAATTAACTAATTCCCTAAAATTCCCTTAAAATTAACTAATTCCCTAAAATTCCCTTAAAATTAACTAATTCCCTTAAAATTAACCAGTTTCCTTAAATTTCACTAAAATTCCCTTAAAATTAACTAATTCCCTAAAATTAACTAATTCCCTTAAATTTCACTAAATTTCACTAAAATTTCCTTAAAATTAACTAATTCCCTAAAATTCCCTTAAAATTAACTAATTCCCTAAAATTCCCTTAAAATTAACTAATTCCCTAATATTCCCTTAAAATTAACTAATTCCCAAAAATTCCCTTAAAATTAACTAATTCCCTTAAAATTAACTAGTTTCCTTAAATTTCACTAAAATTCACTAAAATTCCCTTAAAATTAACTAATTCCCTAAAATCAACCAATTCCCTTAAATTTCACTAAATTTCACTAAAATTTCCTTAAAATTAACTAATTCCCTAAAATTCCCTTAAAATTAACTAATTCCCTTAAAATTAACTAATTTCCTTATATTTCACTAAATTTCACTAAAATTTCCTTAAAATTAACTAATTCCCTTAAAATTAACTAATTCCCTTAAAATTAACTAATTTCCTTATATTTCACTAAATTTTACTAAAATTCTCTTAAAATTAACTAATTCCCTAAAATTCCCTTAAAATTAACTAGTTTCCTTAAATTTCACTAAAAATCACTTAAAATTAACTAATTCCCTAAAATTCCCTTAAAATTAACTAGTTTCCTTAAATTTCACTAAAATTCACTAAAATTCACTTAAAGTTAACTAATTCCCTAAAATTCCCTTAAAATTAACTAATTCCCTTAAAATTAACTAATTGCCTAAAATTTCACTAAAATTCATTAAAATTCACTAAAATTCCCTTAAAATTAACTAACGTCCAATAATTAATATTATTAAACTATAAACATGCACAATACGTTAATTAATAGCATTAATTTAATCCACAATACTAAAATTATCAACATCTTAATCTTATTAATAATGCACATTTAACAATTTACTAAATTAAATAATATGAGCAAATCCAATAATTTGAGCATATATATATAATAAACACATTTAAATTAAATTAACTAACCCTAATTTAAATCTTTATTAATCCTAAATTAGGCCTCCTTAATTAACAATAATTGCCAATATAAAGAAATCATATACTTTTATTTAATCATATATATATATATATATATATATATATATATATATATATATATATATATATATAAAGTCATTTGAATTAAATAATACTTACATTCAACTAATATTAATAATATGCATTTTAATTATATTTAATCATATATACTTACATAAGTATTTAACTAATTTACGTAATTTTAACCCTATATTTTAAAATTAATAACATATGTATTGCCAATATTATATTATTTAATAATATACTTACATATGTACGTATTTAACTAATTTACATAGTTAACTAATTTACAAAAAATACGTAATTCAAATTACATACCTTATCTGCATAAACAGGGAAAATGATATGAGATAGGTAGATTATATCCTTCAATTCTATCTGGAATTCTATCTGGAGTAGATGGTGTGTGATGGATAGTGTACCCGGGGGTAGCTTATCCGGGGGGTTATTGCGGGGAATAACAAGAGAGAAGTCAGAGCAAGTAAGTATAGAGAGGGAAAGTGTATTCAGAAAGTATGCAGCGTTTATGACCTGGTTACAAATGGGGAAAAGGGGTGCTATTTATAGTAGCAATAAATGCTGGACAGGGACACGTGTCAAGCGTCCATTGGCCGAGAGGTCACCTCATCTGGTTGGCGCTGGCAACCGCATGTGGCCGAATTTAATGCGGCTGTTGGATGGGACGTTTGTACAGGGCA